GTGCGTTAATACCTTTGATTCCAACCCCCCTCCGTGAGTGTTGGTATTTTAAGCATCCCTTTTGATGTGCCACAAGTCCTTAATAAGAACAATCAAATAAACACACTGGGTTTAAGGCAGAAATGCTAACAGGAGTCCCAGGACTCTGGATCCCTTCTGCTTGGAGGATTGCACCTCCAGAAATATGTCACACACAACCTGAAAAATGGGTGAAGGGGGCCAGGTGGCTCAGAGAAATGCCCTGGAGGTTCAACTTCAGCCTCGACTGGCTCTAGCTACAGTCTGGCCCCAGTTAATACCTAGTTATTTCACCTCAAACATTTTCCAAAACAGCCCTGGTTTCCCGGGGCAGATGGCTGCGTACTGCATTTGTTTATCTGGGGCGAGCAGGAGCTTGTAGAGAGGGCTATATGGTTCCTACCCTGGCAAGTGCCTCTGGGGCTCCAACACACCTTCCCTCAGGTCTTCCCAAGTCTCCTGGGACTAGGGGCTGGGCCAGCAGGGGCTCTCAGGAGTGGCTATTCTGGCGGATAAGGGTGGGTGGCCCTGCCCACTGTGGAGCAGGGGAGAGAACACATTTACTCCCGAGTCACTTTTGGTATGCCCTGGGCCCTCAAAGTCAGCCTGGCAGGCTGCCAGGGCTGGGCAGGGGACATGACTGACAGCTTCGTTATTGGAAAGCTCCCATCATCAGCCTAGGAACTTTGTTTGGTTTCTATGGTGACCTTCACTACAAGGGCCTGACTAAAGCTGAAGGAATGTGTTACCTAAAACCATCGCCTGACAGGGCTCATGGCTTCAAGGAAGCATGCTCTTCAGCGGTCCATTCCTCTCCGCCCCGTATCCCTGTCCCTCCTGGTCAGGCTCCCCAGCTGCCTCTTCCATGAGAAGGAAGGACCAGCAAAGACAACTCTGGACCTGATCCAAATTCTCACATTCCCCACAGGAAGCCTGTGGTCTTCTGGCCTTGGGCCTCCTGGCCAGCTGGCACATGTCTCTCGGGCTTAGTCGGAAGCCCAGGGGATTTCAGGAAGCTGCTAGGGGTATCTGGTTCCCATCATACCAGGTTCACACTGTCCCCAAGGAGGCATCGTCTCTGCCTCATCACGTTTCTCCCTTTTCAAGCCTGAGCCACACTACCCAAAGGCCATCCATCCTACAGCATGGAACTCAAGGTCCCCTCCATTTTGTTTCCTAATCTCTGAGTCAGAAGGGTTTTCAGAAGCTGGACTCTGTGAAGACTGGGTTCTGCTTTGTGGGCCTAGATGGTGCCTCGAGCCTGTGCCAGAACAGCGATCCCTACAATGGACTCCATCAAAAGCTGGGTTCTGCTTCGCATGCCTCGATGGTGCTTGTGTGGGATCAGCGATCTCTCTACAACGGACTCCACAAAAGCTGGGTTCTGCTCTGTGTGCCTACCTGGTGCCCGGTGCCCGTGGGGGAACAGTGACCTCTCCACAAAGCTTTGCCTTGGTCCCCAGGGCTGCGTCACTACTTGGCCCAGCCTCCTCTGTCTCCCCTTCCTTCAGCTCCTGGCTCACTGCACACATTCAGTTCCAGGTGTCAATGAGACCGCTTGTGGCATCCCCTCCACACGCTGACCTTAGAGACAGCTGTCCATCAGCCCGTGACCTTCCTCAGTCTGTGTTTCACAGTACACTTCAGACGCAGAGGAGGCGGGGCAGGTTTTTTGTTTTTTTTTAAAGGAGGTACAAGTTGCTGTGGTTGGCATGGGTAGGTAACAGAAGTAATTCCAGGGCAGCGGCCTAGCTGGCTCTCCCACTGGGATAAACTCATAAGATGGGGGTCCACTCCCAAGCAGCGGCAATGCGGGTACCCCTACACGGACCTGCTGGCTTTCATCCCCTGGGGGACAGTTCTTGAGTCTGTGGCACTGATGACTTTGCAGAAAGGCTAAGCCTCCAGAAGGCCTGGCCACCAGGATAATGGCTGCACGCTGCTCGGTGGGAGACAGCCTACATCATGGGCCTGTAAGTATCCCCTAAGAATAGACTTCGTTCGGGACAATGAGGTCAGGCCAAGGAGGTGCGGTCTGTTGTTTTGCTGAGTGATATTTACTGGACTGGCTGTTTAATTAACTGCTAGCAACAGCTGGAGCCACACATGGCTTGTTCCGAGCTCAGAGAGCAGCTGGAGGAGCAGGACGCACAGTCAATCGAAGAGCAATGACATTTTCCAGTGATCCCTGACCCGTAATGGACTCAATGACATTTCCTGCTAATCCATGGGTTTTTGTACTCCAGGGTTTCATCTGTGGGGAATAGTATTGACTTATTTGCAAAGGGACATGGTCACTCAATAGAACTGGGGATGTATGTGTATAATTTTTTTTTTTCTATAAGAAAGATTTATTTTCTCACACTCCCGTGGCCTGAATCCCATGAATTCCTCTTCCGGTTAGTTTTGTAGCCTTCTAGGGCCAGATCAGATCAAAGCAGAGCTCCCGAGTCTGGGAACTGATGGGCTCATGATAAAGAATGACTTCTCTACCTCATCTGACCCTTCCTAACTGAGCAGACTGAGTGGGGGGGGGGGGCGGACTTCTCTTCGGGGTAGAATACACTCATTCCCCGCTACCCTGCAGACCACTCTGTAGGACAAGGAATAAGAACGTGCAGGGTCCCTCGATGCAGTGTGATGTCTCTGGGGGTGAGCAGTTCCTATGGCATAGGCTGCCCCCTTAAGGCTCTGCCTGCAGAAGCAGAGACTATTTTCCAGGCAGCTCCACACAAACATGTACACAGGGGTTGGAAGAAAGCACCAGGGAGTGGACACAGTTAGGCTGCGCGATGGCAAACAGCACAGTCTACACCCCACTACCTCTCTGGGGTCTTGGCCCATCTAAGAACCCGCTGAAAGCTATCTCCTTGCCTGCAGGTAGGAAAAGTTCTCATTCATGTACACCCATGGGGCTCCTCTTGAAGGGGTGAGGATAGATGTGGTGTGAGCTCAAAACCTCTCTGTCCACCTGTAAGGACACTCAGGGGAACAGGGCACACCTAGGTGAGGTGAAAGGAGGGTGTGGAGAGTGCAGCCTCGTAGAGCAGTGGGGCTCACTCACATCACATGGGAGGGAGAGGGCTGCCCAACCATCCTCAGAGCAGGAAGATGGGGAGGAAGCCCCTGGGAACAGGAAGATGGGAAGACAGCCACTGGGAGGAAGCATCTTCCTGGGGTGGTCCAGGGAAGCAAAGGAATAGATCTCATAATACCCCAGTACACCTCCCATGGCTTGGGGTTCAATTAGACTTTCAGCAAGGGCATTAGCCTTCCACAGCAGGTCAGGGAGGTGCTCGGGGCTAGGACAGAGCTGTGAAGCCGTGAAGAGATGCTGAGGAGCAAAGTGGGGGACCCAGGGGTGGGAGGGAGTGGCCCTGCTCCTCCCTCTTTCACATTTGGGTTTCCATGGAAGAGCTCATTTGGAAGGGAGTTGGGGCTAGAACAACATTTAGCACAATGGCCCTTGTGGTACCTTTTCTCTTCAGCCCTGGCAGTGGGCAGGGAGCTCCTTCTCTTCCTACCCTAGGGTTCTAAGCTTTGGTTTCTTTGAGCATTTCTTTTTCCCACTTAGCCCAACTGATAGAGTAGATACACATGCACGCACAGGCACACACAGAGATGTGCAAGCGTGTAGAGAACACACATGATGGCACACGTGCCCGCAGCGGCGAGTCAGGACCTGCCAGGCAGGTAAGGATGGCGCTTGGAAAAAGCAAGGTATCACTGCGAAGAGGACAGGCCTCCTCTTTCCTCTTTATGTATAAAAATCATAAGGCTGGGAAGATGTCTGAGTGGGTGAAGGCACTCACCGCCAAGCCTGCAGACACGAGTTCTATCCCCCGGGACTCACATGATAGAAGGTGAGAACTGACTACCTCAAGCTGTCCACACAGGTGCCATTGCATGTGTGTACCACCCCATATAAATGTATTTTTTTTTTAATTAAAAATAAATAAAATAAAAACACTACCACCTGGTACTGCTGCATTATTCTTGGGATTCCTACTCTCCACACCTGACTTATCTGTGTTTTATAATTCCTGAATGGTGTGTCTTATAAAGTGAATTATCACTTCTCCAAGGCTGGAGCAAGGCTCAGAATCAGGGCTATTCCTCAGTACACGGATGGATTACCAAAGCGGACACACACTTGACTTATACCTGGCTACGTATGAACAGCTGGGATCCACTGGGGCAGGACAGTGGGGTGTGTATGGGAGGACCAGATAGGATCCACCAAGCTGGGGTGGTTTAGACTTCATCCAGCAGACAGTCAGGGCAAGGAGAAGCAGGGGTCATCAAATCATGACCTCCTCCTAGATCCCTTCACAGAGCCATGATGTGGCTTTTGCCCTGGCTAGCCCTGATGTCCTGGTCTGATGGCAATAGGTCCTCTGTGGTGGGTAGGGGAAGGAGACCGACTCCTGCTCCACCTGCGGCTGCTGCCCTGTCCCAGTGCAGTGTGAGCCCTGCGCTAGGAACCCGCAGGGCATGTGATTGGTGCAGTAAACAGGCAGGGGCAGGGCCACCCTGGAGGAAGATGATGACTTCCCCAGCTTCCAGTAAAGGATGGCTCCTCTGTCCTCCCAGTTAGTTTTAGAGTTTCATCCTTGGCGAGCTGTGTCAGGGCCATGATTAAGTCTCATGCCTTACCAAGTGGTGCCCTCTGGACTGGAGGGCTGGGTGGGAAACTTTGCACACATGTAGTCCAGCAGTTCTCCCCTCTGGGCCCACAGCCTCTATGGGGGGGGGGGCCCAGGAGCACTATGGGCTATTAATCCCTACCAAGCATCCTCTGTGCATACTGCCACGGCCCCTTGTCATTCCCATACCACCTTGTCCCTCTACCCAGGAAGTGTCTAAGCAATGGACACTTATTCTCTGTGTACTGGCTAAAATGTGCCAAACTGAGGTGTGCCCAGGCAACTGTGCAATAACCAAGCCAGCCCTCCACCCAGCAGTGACCCCAGGAGACTCACTTGAAATTCTCAGGGTACTCGGTGATGGCCATGTTGATGACATCCAGGGCGTGCTGGTAATGCTTCTGGGCAGAGAAGAGCAGTACTAGCAAGTGGAGGGCGTTGGCATCATCTCGGCACACCGTCAGGGCCTCCTGAAGATGCTCCATGGCGCTGGAGATCTGCCAAGAGAGCCCGTCAGTTCAGGGACCCTTACCCACGACTCAGAGTCCAGCTCACGGCTCAGCTCAACTCGAGGGAGCCTGGGCCAGCGGCAACCAGGGTGTTCATCAAACATTTCCCACCAGGCAGCCTGGCAAGGGTTTGGGGAGACAAAGGCGAGCATTTTGAAGGGGAGGAGTTGGGGGCCTGGACAGGCTGCCTGCCACGTGTGGAAACCCCTTCCCCAGAGCCTTGCCAACGGGTCAGAGTCCCACCCAGGGGGAAGGCAGGGGAAAAGGGGAGCTCTGGGGAGGTGGTGGTGGGGTGTGGGCATGGCCAAAGGCAGCAGGGAGGGATGGCAAAAAGGAGGGTGTGTCCTCCAACGTGGGCGTGTGGGGCCCAGCTAGAGGTGAGGCTTGGCTTTTGTACTTTGTGTTTTTTCAACTTAATAAGTCAGTGTGGTTCTCTAGTCAGCTTAGATAAGGAGGATGCGGCCAGTGGTAGAGGTCTGAGCAGCTACCTACCACGGGTGGTTCCAGAGGAAAGCAAAGCCTTTCCTTCAGGTGCGGCAGACCTGCTGCCACACAGAGCCCCAGTGTTTACAGCTTGGGTTTGCCTCCCTTCCCTTCCCGGGGCTGAGTGTGGGGTTTGGGGGTTGGGGGTGGGAAGGGGGCAGGCTCCCACTGCTCTGAGAATCCTGCAGACAGGCAAGGAAGACGACCCATCCACCCCGGCCCTGTGATCTTGCCAAACCCTTGCTCCTCGCTGGGCCTGGGGTAAAAATCAGATGGTCTCCTCTGTTGAAGAAGTTGTATGGGGTACAACAGGGTTCGGGATGAATTCATAGGTCACCCTGGATGCTGCTCTCCATCCTATCTGAGTACCTCTCCACCCACCCCCTGCTCAGCCACATAGGTCAGTAAGCTCAGCCAACTCTCCTCACATGGCCTGGCCTGCGAGCGCCTGGCAGAGGCTGGGGAGTTTCCACAAGTATTAAAGAGTGAAAGAAATTATGGTCGTCACCAGTGTTAACACGCTCCTTCAAAGGAGGCTGGGTCGTCCTGGTGACCGCAGCAACTCCTTCACTGTCCAGTGTGACCTGCCAGGTGGTCCTGCATCCCCCACTACCTCCTCCTCCTCCAGCAAAGGCACGCAAGACAGCCTCTTGTTCCCAGCCCCCTGAGCCCCGCTATTTGAATCCAAAGAGCATGCTCTTGGGGGACTATTGGGGTGTTAGAGAGAGCAACACCGTACTTGTGAATTTGAAAGGTCTGGGTCTCTTGTGCCTGGGTGTCCCTGCCTCTCGAAATTCCATGTCCTACACATCAGGGATATGGTGGAGCTGGAGAGTTTTCTCTCCGGCTCCTGCCAAGCCCCGGCAGTCCCGCAGCCCACTTATAAACTAAACACACAGACGCTTATAGTATTTAAACTGTTTGGCCTAATGGCTCAGGCTTCTAGCTATCTGTTCTTATATCTTAAATTAAGCCATTTCCATAAATCTATACCTTGCCACATGGCTCGTGGCTTACCAGTATCTTACATGTTGGTACTCATGGCAGCGGCTGGCAGCGGCTCCTGACTCAGCCTTCCACCTCCCAGAATTCTCTTCTCTGCTTGTCCCTCCTACACTTCCTGCCTGGCTACTGGCCAATCAGCACTTTATTTATACAGAGCGATATCCACAGCAGCCTGGGAGCCCCTGCGCCTCAGAATTCCATGTCCTACACATCAGGCTCATGGCTTACCTGAGGTGGATTAAACTGGTATGTACAGGTGGACACGCTCACTGACCTTCTAACCCTGTCTGCTCAAGCATCCCTATCCTGAGAGGTTGGTGTTTCAGCTGGTGAGCACAGGCTAGACCCACACAGCCTGCTAATGCCACACTGGGTGAGTGAGGAGCTCAGTGTAGGCTGGCGGCTCTCAACCTTCCTAACGCTGTGACCCTTTAATACAGTTCCTCATGTTGTGGTGACCCCCCCCCTGCCCCAACCATAAAATCATCTTTGTTGCTACTTCATAACTGTAAGTTTGCTACTGTTATGAATCGTGATGTAAAATACCTGATATGCAGGATATAAAATGTGATGGGGGGGCGTGACCCACAGGTTGAGAACTACTAATGTAGGCCGACTCTCCTTAAGCTGCAGGTTCAGAGTGCAGTACGGTAATGCCCAGCCCATCATCTCCACCCTCAGACTTCGGGCATTCACTCGGCTCAGTTGCCCCGAATGCATGAGGCGTGTTCTCCCTGCTGCCTCAGTAAATGGCACCCTCATGGCAAGGCCCTGCTTCTGTGGAAATGCCCATCCATCCCCCTGCCTTCCTCTCAGCCACCTGCCTCTCGTGTGTGCGGAGACTGTGACTGCACAACCAGAGGGGACCGGGAGAGACACAGGCATGGGAGAGGAGGGCTAGGATGGCCTGTTTGGACAAGCGCACAGGTTCTTCTGTTACTCTCTCCACGCACGCCACAGTGGGGTAAACACCTTACAGGAACAGGACACTGATGGAGAGATACCCCTCCTATTCACACCCTCACAGAGCCAAAAGTGCCCCCCAGCTCCTCCACTGCTCTGCTGGTACCTAGGGCCAGGTAGACACACCTCTCTGGTCTGCATGTCCTCTATAGTGGTCAGGCCCCTGTGGTTGCTCCAAGGCTCAGGTATGAGACACATCCTGCAGAGACCCAGCTCAGTGGCGTTCCCAAAGCCTCTCTTCCCCACTTAAGCTTCCCGAGACCCCGCAACAAAAACTGTAGGATTCTTCCTCCTAGTTCAAGGGCATGTGCTCAAGGCAGCTGCATTTGTTTTGGTGACTCTGTCCACATCAGGACTCTTTAGTCCAAAAATAAATTTTTTTAATGCAATGCCAGAGACTATACCCAGGACCTTTCATACACTAAGTACGTGTTCTACCACTGACCAGTGCGTACAGCCTCTAAGAGTCTTGCTCCTTAGCAAACCTGAGACACCAACCTCTCGTGTTCCCTACGGTGTTTTGCATTCCCAGCGTGCCAGGCCCAGCACGCGGTCTCCTCCTGGCCACTAAGTGCCAAGTCCAGAATTGTGCGTAGGTCAAGGAGAGTGTGAAGAAGCAGCTAATAAGATCAGTGTGGCTACCGCCTTAGCATATGTTGACTCTCCAAGGCTGGTCTTGCCCCGTGACTCACCAAAACAGACCCCATTATCCTGGGAGGGGTATCCGAACCCCAGATATCACAGCTCAGGGCAGCCAGCCATGCTCTAGGCAGAAAGTCACAGATATCCAAGCAGGAGAGGATACTACCTTAGGAGTCCACTCAAGGTCCTCAACCTTCTGGGACTCTCTAGATGTGGTGTCCACAAGAACCCACTGGCCTAACAAACATCGTTTTTTGGAAGATGGGCGCCATTCATCAAAGACGGGTGAATAGTTGAAGAGATTAAAAAATGCATCACGGAAGGTTTATCATTAACGTAATTGGCAAAAAAAAAAAAAAAAAGAAAAGCACCAGGTTCCTTTACAGGGGGCTAAAAATAGAGCGGTCTCAGGTAACTTTCCGTCGGTTCCCAGAAGCTGAGTGATGTTCCTAGAGGAGAGGCATTCAGTGAGCAGGGCCTGGGAGTCAGGATCGTGGATAAATCGCGGAGGTGGCGGAGGGATGAATGAGTCACAGGGGAGGAGGTGGTGTGAGAGGAAGGGAGAGGAGGAGAGAAAGCGGGAGCAGTGACGTGGGGGACCGCTGGGTAGAAAGCAGCTGAGACAGAAGGACTCGGAGGGGATGGAGACGATGGAGATGGCGCATTCAGACCGACAAGTCAGGCTGGACAAGCACTGCTAAGCGTCCAGGCGGAAGGCAGGAGGAAGGGCTTTTGGTGGTGGTGGGACTGCCGGGCAGGGGGAAGTCACGAACCCCCGAACGTGTGGGCTCCAGGGGAGGGTGAGGAGGGAGGAAGACGAGCCCCACTGCTCCTGAGTCAGAGGAAACAGCTGGCCAGCTGCTCCAAGGTCGGGGTGATCATCAGACCAGCCTCCTGGCAGGGGTCCAGGTACCCCGGGGGCCCTGTCTCCAAATGGGCCAGGCGCCTCTCAGCTGGGGCAGGGTGAGCTTGGGGTCAAGGCGTGAAATGAGGTCGTGTTGTCCCTGCACGGGATGTTGTAGAGGAAATGAAGCGGCGGCCACTCCAGGGCTACCCTCTCTTGTCCGTGTACGAATGGGGATTTCTTTTCTTCTCTTTTGGTCAGTTTCTTGAGACATCGTCTTGCAGTGCATCCCAGGCTGACCTCGAGCTCGGTCTGTAGCCTAGGCTAGCCTCAGACTCAAGAATTCTGCCTTAGCCTCCTAAGTATCAGGATTGCAGGAGTGCACCACCGTGCCAGGCTGTAGACAGAGCCTATGAGGCTTCTCCAGAGCCTGGCCTCAGGCCACCTACAGTCCCCAGTCAGAACCAGCAGGCACTGAGTCAAGGCCACCAGAGACACCCAGAGAGCTTCAGGGTGCATGAGATCAAAGGAGACTCTGAAAGGCATGGTTTAGGGGAGTAACACTGACCTCCCAGATCACAAGCGGGCAAAGGTGGTTCTACCTGGAGAGCTGCTGCTGGTGGCCAGGGTGGTGATGGTTTTGGTAGGGCAAAGGGAACCCCCAAAGTCAGGAGCCTGCAGTGGTGTCTTTGGGGTCAGGAGAAAGCTTTGGGGGTCACACAGAAACCCATCCAGAAGTAGCCCCACGTGCCAATCACGCTTTGCCCATGTCCAGGGTGGGGGGCAGGACACGAACAAATGATGCTGTGGTCACTTACCCCTTCCTCAGGAGACTGCCGTATTCTAAGGAAAGCCAGGGCACTGAACAACCCTTTCTGTGTGCCCATCATAAGCGGGCCGAGGTGTAACCACACTGACCGAATCCTCACTGGACCCCTCACACAAAGATGCTCCCATGAAAGGCAAGGGTGCTGAGGGACGGACGGACAGACAGTCACACAGAGGAGGTGAGAAGCCCCACAGACCTGAGGATTGGGAACACACCTGTCGGACGAGGGCAAGCTGCAGGGCGACGTAGAAGATAATCTGGGGGTCATCGGGCGCCAGTGCCTGGGCTCTGCAGGGGAGAGAGAGCCGAAAATCAGTTACGGTCAGCGGCGCGGCGCGCCCATCTTGTGCCGGGTGCGGTGGGCAATATGGTGGGAGATCGTGCCAGCCCCCCCCCCCAGATGGCAGGGCATGGCCCGGGCAGAGGTCCCCAGGCAGCTCATGGTAGAGGACAGTGGCTCATGGAGGGCTGGCACAAGCTGAGGTAGGGGATCTCCAAGGTGGCAGATCTCAGAGGAACGGCAGGGATGGGGGAGGAGAGCGTCACATCTGTGAACGGCAGGCAGCCTGGCTGTTTCTCTGTGGACATCGGCTAGTCTGACTACGGCTTTCCTCCTAAAGGACACTCATACTGCCCCGAGGAGGACGCAGGGCCTCTGAACTGCCCATCTGAGCAAGACGTCCCAGGAACGCAACACTGGCAAGGGGAGGTGGGGGAGTCCCAGGGCTGGAATATCTTGCTTTTTTGGTTAGGGAACAACCTGACCCAGAGGGAGGCTGGGGTGTCATATGCTCCAATCACATGGGTGCAAGGAGTCCGAGCCAGGCCCTCCCCAGTGACAACCCTCTGCCACTTCAGTGTGGGGGACACGGTGGGTCAGACCGGGGTAGGGAGGAGCAAGGCGGGACCGGATGAAGGAGCTTCTTGCCTTCCTCCCTCCCTGACTTCAGGAGCTCTCTGAGAAGCTGGGGGTGGGAAGTTCCTGCAGCTCTGGTGTGGTCAGGCTAGAGGACACCGAGAGCACTCCCGAGGCCCTGCTCCCTGCAGGACACCATGGAGCAGTGGTTCTCAACCTTCCTGACGCGGAGACCCTTTACTACAGATCCTCATGGTGCGCCGACCCCCCAACCATAAAAAGATTTCAGTGCTCCTGCATAACTGTAATTTTGCTACTGTTATGAATCGTAATGGAAATATCTGCTATGTGGGACGTCTGGTGTGCGACCCCCAGAGGGGTCATGGCCTACATGTTGAGATCCAATGATGTACAGGCTGCTTTTCCTGCTTTCTGTCCAGTATCGCGGTACCAGTGGAAGCCCGAGAGCCCCGGGAGCAGGGGCTGGGCCCGGCAGCTGTAGTGACCCAGCTCCGAGCTGAACACAGGGCACCCCAGTGCCCAGTGCTGAGGGCGAGGTCACCTGACACAGTAACCCACACCTGCCTGCCTGCCTGCCGGGTGACCAACTGGCCTATGGTTTCCTTATCCATAAAAGGGAAGGCGGAGACACCCATCTCAGAGGGTGACACCTCCCTGTGGGGCCCTCCATTTTACCGCTCTGCGCGTGAGGAAGCAAAAGGTTAGGCGGGCGTCTCCTCACCGCTCAAGTGTCTGCAGGGCCTTGCGGTGCAGCTCATCTTGCTTGGACTTCAGGGTGGCTGCAGGAGACACGACGGATCAGGGGGTCACTAAAGAAGTGCAAGCATCTCCCTAGTCCACCCCCAGGGCACAGGAACTTAGCAGGAAGGAGCCTAGCAGGGCCCGGTTTGCAAACCCTAAGGTCCGGGTAACAGGGTTCAAGACACAGAAGACTGCCGTGACTAAGGGACAGTGCCTGAAGATGCCATGCCTCTGGGTGTGAGGAGCAGAAGACAGCCGATACCAGACGGTCCTGTTACGGCTTCAAGGGTCCCTGGAGCCTACACACAGGGGCTGGCACTAGGGGACATGGGCAAAGCCTGGTGGGGGTCATTGCTCCCTCTCTTCTAGACTTGAAGGACACAAAAGCAGGTGTCTGCCCGTCCAAGGGGGAGGCACTGGGCTGAACTAGAAGGGCTGAGAACGAAATAGCAGGCCTGGGGCAGGGAGGATGAGAGCCATATGAAACTCCCCTAGGTGTTTGGGACTGGGTAATGTCTGAGAAGGGACTTCAAAGGCCCCAGAGGATTGCCGCAGAGCTGAGGGTGAAGGCCCGTGAGGACTGGAAGGAAGCCGCAGTGGGGTAGAAGGCTGATGGCACTACAGGCAGGAGGTACCCGGAGGACCACAGAGGGCAGTGTGGGCTGGGCGGGACCTACATGGTGACAGACCTGGGCCCATGAAAAGGAATGGCCCATTGCTGGGTAGGTAGGTAGTTCCAAGAGCAACTCTTGGAACTGAGGGGTGTGCGTGTGCGTGTGTGTGTGTGTGTGTGTGTGTGTGTGTGTGTGTGTGTGTGTGCATGCACATGTCCCAGAGGAGTGCTCCTGTCAGTGGACAGTAGTGAGGAGGGACCACTAGTGGAACGAGACCCCTTGGAGGCAGCTGGGAATCCCGAGGCCTCGTCCATAGGCCTGTTCTCCTGGGACCTGGCACTCACCATCAGTGGCCTGCAGGCTGTAGGTGAGACCCAGGGCCAGGTAGGCTTTAGGCAGGAACTCTCCTGCTTCTTCTCCAAGGCTGATCACCACCATGGCAAAGTGTTCCGCCTCTTCCAGCTGCAAAGAGGAAAGGGTAGCGGTCACTGGGGTGGCCTTTTGCTGTCCTGAGCAGGACAGGGAGCAGAGTCACCGACCTGGGACAGTGTCAGCCCCAAGTATAAACAGAACAATTCCTGACGCTGGAGCTGTGGGCAACGTGACTTCTCCAGGCCACACAACTGCTGAGCAGAAGGGCCAGATGTTTGCTACACCAGGAAGTACCTCCCTGGAGCTGTGCCCCTCCAAGGAGCCAGTACTCAAGGTCACAGGTGCCAGCTCTTCCAAAGAGAGACAGACAGACAGACAGACAGACAGACACTCCCTGCCTGGGAGAGCCAGCTCCCAAAGCCTGATGTGCTGAGAGTATAAACTCAAAACAGGCCAGAATGTGTGGCTCCCTCCTCACATGGTCTCTGTAGGGAGGACCCGCTCAGCAGACAGAGGGGAGCCAGGGCTGGCTGGGCCTTGGGAACATGTGCCTTGTTGAACATGGCCGGCCCTGCAGAGTAGGCAGGCTGCCACACAGGCCAGTCTGGAGCTCGCTCCCTCCCTTCCTGAGCAGGAAGCCAGTGAGCTTGAACATTGAAGGGAAAAAGGCCTTGGGCTGTTTTCGTCCTGGGAGCAGAGGGACTGGTCCAGTTGGAAAAGGCCCAGCTGGCACGGGCCATGTGAGCACACATCACCCTCAACATGGGACCCAAGGAGAAGGCACATGAGCGGGGATTTATGAACACTTTGTGGCACCCCTCGCCAGGAGGCTGGCTGGGGCGCAGGGCTGAGGCTAAGGCTGTATCCATTCTCAGGTGTCTCTACCAACTCTTTCCCACATGCACAGCAAGATGTCTATGTCTCACCCAGTACATGTCAGCTCCCAGGGCAGCTTCCTCCAGCATCTCCCTCCCACTCCCACCCCGCTTCCACACCGCCAGACAGACAACCGTGTTCCTGGCACAGGTATCCCGTCCAGCTAGGGAACCACACAGGCGGTCCAGTGGAGGCGAGAGTCACACTCCACGTTGGCTTCCAGCAGTGCCCGACCCTACTCATATCCTGACGTAAGCTGGTTCCCTCTGACTGCTGGTCACAGCTGAGGAGGGTGCCCAGGTAAAGCCTCTCCCCGGCGGGTGGCAGAATTGCTTGAGACAGAGGGCACAGAGAACTGAATGGACTGAGTCCCCAGTTTGGACACAGCCATGATGAGCCATGTGCAAAAAAAAAAAAAAAAAAAGAAAAGAAAACAAAACAAACAACACCCCCACCCGTCCCCCAAACCTGAAGGAACGGAGCACCCACAGTGCAAAGAACGAGACTCCTGAATGTACCATGTTCCCTACAGAGCCAACATTATTTTGAGATCTGTTGCCACCCACAAAGCGGCCCTTCTGCATGTGGATTTATTGCAGTAATTATATAGGAAAAATAGTATTAATTCCAAGTAAGTTAGTGTACAATACAATAATTACACATGGTATTAATAAACATGGGTGCCTTGGCTAGCAAATGGGGAGAATGCTGTCATGGCCAGAGTGAAAACCGAATGAAAACAAAACATTTTCCTAGGTACACAGTCTCTCTTCGTCTAAAGCAGGTGGGGCAATCTGAAAGCCTTAGAATTCGGCTCTGAAGGGCCAGGAGCCCAATTAGGCTCCAAAACAGCTCCTGACTCCCAGGTCAGTTCTCTTCACAGAGGCAGGGGCAGCTCGGGGATGAGGACAGTGCTGAGTACACTGCTTGGGCTCCACTCCTTTGAGGTTAACTTGCGGGCCTCAGTTCCTCCTTCTGTAAGATGGGGACAACAGTGTCACCTTCAGAGAGCTGCTGGGAGGACTGGTGTGATGTGAATGCTCTAATTAGTGTGCTTGCCTAATTGTCAAAGATGAATAGCCGTGAGTACATGTAATACATACAGAGGCCACAATTACTACACATATATGTGTGTATACGTATATATTAACCACACATCATTGCACTGAAAAATTTGCAAGCGGCATTAAAGGACCTTCGGAATCCAAAAAAAAAAAAAAAAAGGACGCTAATACAGCCTGCCTTTTGTCTCCGGGCCTGGCGGTTCATCCCAGAAAAGCCTCAATGACACAGGACAAGCAGGCACCCGGCAGAACTGCCCAGTCTGCTGCGCAGGTACATACGCTCTCCAACCCCCCACCTGAGGCCGAGGACACATTTGCCACCAAAGACCACCCACTATACACTCACCCATTCCATGGAGGACAGCAAGTCAGAGTATGTTCCAACCTCTTCCAAGTGTTCTACTCCACAGCCCACTGAGTCTTTGACACATGATCTGAAAACACTGTTTCCATCTCCCAGCTGCCCGACACCATGTCTACCAAGTAACCCTTGCCAGCCTCCTCCTGCTGGGGACCTCAGGTCCAGACTCCAGACACTTCCTCCTGTGGCCTCCCGGACGATGCTGTCTCTGCCACCAGCTCAAGAGTGTGGCATGAGGCCCTCTTTCTCATCAAAATACATCTCGATGAGGGGTTCCCAGTGTGGTCTCCTCCCCAGCCCACTATGACACTGACTCTAACGCCCAAATTCGGAGCAGCCAGGTGACCTTGCCATGGCCACCTAGGGAAGGTCCTCCCTGCCTCTGTGTTTCTGAACGGCCTGGGGCCCGACAGCCACGTCATAGCACCATGGCAGGAGACTATGAGGCACAGGGAGCTTGTATGACATCCGCACCCCACGGTCAGCCATTCAGCAAATGTAGAACTGTGACCCCAGGCAGTTCTGGGGGCTTCATAGCTGCCCTCAGCACTTCCTCAGTTTCCTCAACCCCGATACTCGGAAAGAACGACGCACCGCATAGCGTGCCCCTTCGGTGGTTCGGTCTTGCTCTTTGTAAGTACGGAAACACTCTGTGCCTTCCCAAGTGCCTTGGTCTCCGAGGCTTTCCTAATTTGGTCCCCCGTGCAGCGGACTCGGCTGAGCTGGCACACTGGCTGAGGCTCGGGGCTGCCTTCCGTCTCCGGGCAGCCTCCTTCACCTGCACTGAGCAAAGAGGATCCCGCCCCACACTCTCCACCCGCTTTCTCTCTTCCCAGGGACTGGGGAGAATTCCATTCTGAGACTGCAGGGCTCTGTTTAAAGACCTCCAGCTTCTCCTGAGCCCCTTCCTGTAGGACCTGGAGCTACTTGGTGGAAAATCTGCTCTTATTTTTTTCCTCAGGGTGTAATGGGCACTTTCTAACTTCTGCAAGATGGTGCCAAAAGAGCGGGTGTCCTTCCCTGCTCCGTGAACAATCCATCTTCCCGGGCCTGGAAGTCGAAAGCAAAGGCATATCCTTTCTAAGTGATTACTATTTTGAAGGTGCTAAGAAGAAGAATGGCCACCATTTGTCATATGCCTGCAAAGTGCCATGCAGACACACACACCACCTCCTAAGGCTCACAGCCACCCTACTAGTGGGCATGCCAGTCCCCAGATTATAGACAAGGAAACTGAGGCACAGAGAGAGCGAGTCACTCGCTCCAAGTCACACAAGCTAGTGAGTAAGGTAGACTGAAGGGCTGGAACCCTATCTGTTCTCCACAGCCTACGCTCTTTCCTGCACCCATGCGGCTCCCTCGGGGGTATGAAACCTGTGAGAGATAGTACAGGCCTTTGCACAGGAGCTTACCTACGCCTGCTTCCACCTCTTCCGCTGTCTGTGTGGTCCTCTGCACCTCCTAAAGGGGCTCCAACTTTTTAAATTAAATCAGTTTTAAATAACTGGGTTTGGAGGGATCCGAGACAATATCTACATCTTCTTTTCTATCTCCACCCCAAATTTGCCTTGTGGCCAGAGTGCATGGCAAAAGATGAGGAGAAGGCCCTTAACCGGACACAAAGCCCATACTAGGCAAAGTTCCTAGTGAAGGACAGAGTTCCTGGAGGGAAGGGGCACGGGCACTGACCGGCATCCCCCACTGGCCTCAGGAGAAGACACAGCTCTGTCCTGGAGAAGCGCAGAGGATCACACCCCAGTTCATACCTCAGCTCAGTCCACGCCCAAGGGAGACAAACCGGACCCTAAGAGGTCCAAGAGCGGGGCTGGCAAGGCGGCTCAGCGGGTCAGAGCCCTGGCCGCGCTTCTAGCGGGTCTCCATTAGATTCCCAGAGCCTACATCCTGGCTCACAACCCTCTGTAACTCCAGTCCCAGGAGATCCGACGCCCTCTTCTGGCCTTTGTGGGCATTACACACGCATGGTGCACAGACATACAATGGGGGGGCGGGGAGGAACACTGTCACTTGAAATAAAAACAAAGGAAAACTAATTTTAGGGAAAGACGAGGGGTGGGGGCGCAGGGGAGGCCTCTGAGTCTCCAGCAGCTTGCCCTCATCCCTACTCACCTGCAGAGTCTTGCTCCGACCTGTGTCCTGACACCCCACCCACCCAACCCTGACCCCCTGGTAACAGACTGCCTCTCTCCCTTTTCTGATGACAAGTCTGCCTGTTGAAGTTTCCTTCTGGGCTTTTCTATTTATGTTGTCATTGATTCCTTTGCTCCTAACTCATCTGATTTCAATTTGGACTGATTTGATCCTAATTTTATTACCATGTAATCTGAATGCACATAATCACTGTAATCATGCTGCGGAGGGAAACAGCTCCTCCATGGTGGGAAGACCTAAATTTAGGGCTTCCTGGCAAGGGCGCCATTGGCTGGGTGGACTCACAGCTCCTTGGAGCTGGCAGCTTGGGGGAGCACATATGCCCTCCCCAGCCCTGCTCCCAGAGACATGGGTATTTTGGGCTGCCACGAAGGGATGAGCCCAAGGTTTCCTCTCAGGAGTCCTGGACTAAGAGGAAGTCTGACCGGGGGTTGGGTAACCGCCCTTTGCACCTCCAGCCCTCTTTGCTGCGAGGGTTTGGCCCGGGACTCGGCAGCCTGCAGCCTGCAGCTGCATGCCACCTACAAAAGAGTGGGTGCTGACTTTGGATCTAGAATGCAGAGGAAGGGATGGGGGCCTCTTGGGAAGCATGTGTGGGGTATAAGATGACAAGGGAGAGGGATGAGGAACTTGTTCTGTGTCACTCAGAGCATAGAAAAAGGCCTCTCCCTCACATCGGGAAGCTGGCTGGGGCCGAAGACAGTGAGATGATCTGGATAGAGTTACCGGTGAGAGATAACGTTAGTGTTGTACTCCCTAGGGTCCAGGGCCCTGGGTCTGAGCTCATCAAAAGCCGGGGGCTCGGGGCTCCAGGCTCTGTTTCCTCACTGATCTTTTGGGGGCACCTTCATGACCCTCCAGCAAAGACCATCAGCTGAGAAGTACCCTTGGAGCTACAGTCTCCTAAAAGCTGCCCCCGTAGAGAGTGGGGAGCAGACGGTAGGACCAGGAAAGAGGCCTAGGGGTGCAATAAAAACCAAGAAGGGATAGCGAGGAAGCCATCTTTGTTTCTTCTCGGGCTAGGGTTGAGATCAACCCCTCCCCTCCTCTGTTAACTATGAACTCATCCACAGCCTCTTTTCCAATGGGCTGGTCTAGGTAACTCTGAGGACTTGCCAACCCCCCTTTCCATCGGTCTGACCCTCTGGGGATCACATTTCAAAGGGCTATGCTGTCAAGACCAAAGTTAGGGGGTCCTCAGAGACTCTCCCCCCCCCCCCCGTCCCTACCCACAAGTGGGACCCTTTCTTCTACTCACACCCGCCCCCCCCACCTCGTTCCCACTTGCTGGAGCCCCCCCCCCCCCCCCCCCCCCCCCCCCCCCCCCCCCCCCCCGCCCCCGCAGCTCACTCACCCAGTGCAGGGACCCGATGCAGACCTTGGCAGCCATCAGGGGCACCGTGGGATCCGAGGGCTGCAACTTCATGCACTCTCGCAGCAGGGACACGCCGTAGGCCGACTGCAGAAGCAAGGGTAGAGAACACAATCACTGACCACGCTAGCTCCCCAAACTCTGGCGTGCCCTATGCCCTCGGGGGTGGTTCTCCCCACAGTGCTTGCTCTGTACCCCTTTCCTTCTAGGAACCAGGAGGGGAGCCCAGCGGGAGCCTAGCGAGGCCCCCTCTGAGTTTGTTTGGAGAATGGAGACCATGATGAACCTCACCCTCTGGAGACATGAGAACAGTTAACAGGATAACAAACAGAAACTTTCCAAAAAGAATCCGGATCAGAACCACAGAGATCTGAGAAACAGACAGGGCCCCTCTAAGCCTGTACGCAGAGAAGATTGCTGTGACGGGACTGGACAGGTGAGGAGGTGGGAGGAAGGTGAGGAGATGGGGGGGCAGAGAGACCCTCCAGACAGGAAGTGGAGGCCCCACAGGGCTCCAGGACGCAACCAGGATTTGCTGAGGATAGGCAGAGAAGGGCCAGAAGGGAAGGGCATCCAGGCCCAGAGAGGTACGTCACCTATACCAAGAGGAATGACAGATAATACCCCAGATCTTACCATGTGCCAGGCATTTTTTTTTTCTAAGTGGGGGGCTGCCGAAAGAACCTGTGGGCTGATCTAGCCTACTGCCTGTTTTTGTAAATAGGGTCCCACTGGAACTCAGTCATGCCTGTTCGTTCATAGACTATCTGTGGCTGCTGCACGATACCACCTTGGTGGAATGGCTGAGAGAGACTGACTATTAATAGTCAGTCGAACCTGACTACTGCCCGACCCTTTACGGAAAGTTTGCTAACTCCTCTGTGAGAGTGTTGGATTGTCATAACATTCCTACCAGACAGACAGCCTTACAGCTGAGAGGAGAGGGAGGCTGGGTCAGAGCCACATAGCCCGTAAATGACTAAGCAAGGGTTTGAACACAGCCTGGGCCCAACTCTTAAACACTACCCTGTGTGGCCTCTGTGGTGATGACCTTGGCCAGAGGAAGCTGGTTTCCTGGAGAGATGGAGGGGTGTTTGTGAGTGTGTGTGTGTGTGTGTGTGTGTGTGTGTGTGTGTGTGTGTGTGTGTGTACTCTGGAAACTTCTGCTTTCTGAACCCAGCACTTTCTGAGGGTAACTAACTCAACAGTTACTTTCCTGTCATGGAAGCTCCTACCTGTGACCCTCAGGTGTATGTGTGTGATTAGGACCATTACCAGTCCTGGGTCCCACTGTGGGCTGAACTCCTCACTTTAACCTAGCCTTCTTCTTCACCCCCTAGCAACTCTGGGGGTGCCACTAAGGAAAAGAGGGTTCGGGCAGGCTCATCTGCCTGCAGTAGGCTATGACTGGAGTGTGTGGGTCCCCCGCCCCCAGCTCACCTCTCCCGTCCCCACCATCTATGGAAGAACTTCCTTCCCCCCCAGTCTTACAGATTTCCTTGGGCTCTGACTGGGCTGCGATATGCATATATTTTGAGTGTGTTCTCCAAGAATCCATGTGCTGGAGCTTGAACCTCAGAGTGGTTAGCACATGAGAGGGTCCAGTGGGACCTGGTTAGGTCACTGTGTGTGCCCTAAAAGGACTGGACATCTTCCTCATAATTAGTTCTTGCAAGGGACTGGTATAAAGTGAACACGGCCTGCTCTTTCCCACCTGGCTTCCTGTCTGGCTCTACAATTTCTCCACTTGCACATACTCCTGTGACGTCATCCACCTTGAGGTCCTCACCAGAACCCAGCCAGTGTTGGCACCCTGGCCTGGAGCTCCAAAACTATGAGGCAAATAAGCTTCTTTTCATTATAAATTCCTCCGCCTTGGTTGTTTTATTATAAGTAACAGAAAATAGACCAATGAGGCTAATTGTAGGTCTCTTCATCCAGGGCCTGTACTGGGCTCACAGTACCAGGCTGGGGTGGTGGAGCCCGAGGAGACCTCTAGGGAGGTCACAGAAAGCAGGGCAGCTAGGGAGACAAACGCCCAAATCCCCCATCATTCGAACAACACAAGAGGACAGGGGGAGCACAAGAAAGGGCCAGAAAGTGACGGGCCTCCCGGGAGGACCCAGTCCAGAAGGCAGCAAGAGGGCTGCCCGCCCCACCTCCTCAGGGCCCCTCTCCTGGGAATGCCACGCTAAGTCCCTCACCACCGTCCCTCGACCCACACACCCCAGCAAGCCTCAGGCTTCTCCTCAGCTTTCCTTAGGCGCCTGACCTTTGCGCATTCTGGAAACACCAGCTTCTCTGGTCCTGACCCTCCCCAATCCACCCACCCCTTCCCACCCCACCCCCACGCAGACCAAAAAACACTGCTATTTAAGGAGCCGTCTGAGGACCCAGCAGTAGGAGCAGCCGGCTTCTTTTTTTCCCCCTTGTCATGCTGGTTACCTAGCAACGCAGCCAATGCAACCGCCGCGTGGAGACCGAGAGAGAGGGAGCGACCTAAATCATGCCACAGAACTCATCCGTTATCCCCGTGGGGCGAGACACCAGGCGTATTTATATCTACCCGGCCTCACCTTCTGGAAGGTGCAGAACCTGGGCTCCCACCTTGGGTTTGGCAAAGGCGAGCTCTGGCCCCTCCCCTGAGGCCTGCCCAGGGCAGTCAGGCCAATGGTTTTGGCAGGCAGGATTCCCAGGGGGCGGTTGGAGAATGCCTTCCTTACAGAACAATCTCACAGTGCACCGAGTGCATGTCGGGTGGAGCCTCACATATAAGAAATTCACTGACCACTCCAACTCCGGACGCCCACCTTGCGGGATCACCAAGGAGCCAGAGCAGGGAATGGCTTCCCAGAGGCGGGATGCTAAGCTGTCTGGACCTCTTAGCATCCAGCTTCTCCATAAGGGGGGTGGGAGACCCCTCAAGTCCCCAGACAATTGTGGTGTCTTTTCCTGAGGCTGGATTCTCCAGGAACTCCCTCAAAATTAAAGCTAACTTCCATGGATAGTTTGTGGGTTTTGTTTTGTTTTGTGTTTTAAAGGCGATAGCTTTTTTAAAAAAAAAAAAAAAATCCACAGAACAGTGAGTGCCCTGCTCTAGGCTATCTCCATCACTGCTATTCTAAGGCTAAAGGTGTTTCCTGTTTGGGGGAGGCAGGAAGACGATACTCAACGCTGCTGTATGCAGAGGATCGGCATAAGCTCCAGCCACACCTCCCCAGCCTACTGTGACTACCTAGGCAGGAACAGGCTGGTGCCTTCAAGTCCTACGCACCTACTCTGGGTTCATCTTTCTGGCCCTCCCCTTGGTTCACACTCCCCCCCCACGCCCTCCCCCCCCCCATCTACTCTCTACTTATGTGGTCCTGCCAGGTGCCTGGGAGTGCCTCTAATCCTGTAAGGCCAGCCCCTGTCTGTGTTCTGAATTCTCCTTGAGATCCGCCAACACCCTGCCGGGCAGAGCCAGTAGGTCACGCTGTGACTTCAAGACGCTCTGGGAGGTGGCGGCAAAGTCGGAGGCCCAGCAAAGGATGCTCAAGGAGACTCCCCGCTGACTTTGGCGGCGCTCGGCGGCCTCTCGCTGCAGTCTAACAAGACTGCAGCACCTGGTGGCTCCTCCCCCTCCCTGCCAGGCCCTGGTCTGTCTTACTGCAGAGACCCAGGGCTGCCTGGCACTCCTCCATCTGTGGAGGCGGCACTGGCACACGGGGAGGGCCCTCCTCGGAGACGGCTGCGGGGCTAGAAATGGAATGTGGCACAGATGGGCCAGGGGGCGAGGGATTCCCTCAGCCCCATGAAAGGGCCGTGGGTATTTACAGCTCCTGGAACCATCTGCGAGCTCATACCACCTTATTTCCTGCATTCATAGCATCCTTCGCCCCAGCTCCCTCGGCCCCCGGCTCCGGAAAGGTTTTCCTTTCATGTCGCTGCTTAAAATAGAGGCTTACATAAGTGCAGTTCTGATCGGAGAGAAAAAATCAGGGATGCCGAAGTAGGGGCCGGGCAGATGGAGGGCGAATGCCTGCCCCGGTGCCTGCCACGTGCTCTGGGCATCGCTGGCCTCTTCTGCTGACCCCACCCAGGTACCTCTCACTACATCCGTCACATAGCCTCCCCTCCAGATTGCCATGTGGGTGGCTGCTGCGCCCCGCCACCTTACAGCTAGCTCTCCCTCCTGGGCAGGGTTCCCAACTCACAGGCAGGCCTACTTGGGGGCAGGAGTAGTGTTCCTCTCTCCTAGAGCCACACCAGCAGAGATGCTGTGATACGCTTGTGGTGGACCATAGGAAGAGAGAAGCATCCAAGCTCATACCTGCATGTGGGCACACTCACCATCACCAGCACGTATCATATAGGGCCTTCCCCATCCACGTTCACAGTCATATTAATACTGGGTCAGTTCCCAGTCAACACACATCTCTCCAGCCCTGGGAAACCCCTGGGAGGGACCGGAGGCCCCTCAGAATCCAGATTTTAACCCCCACCCCGCCAACAGCCCTGGGCCTTACCTTCCCACAAGCTACCATGGAGAGGGCCACTTGGTACCAGAGGTGAAATTCTCCAAATGCACACTTCATGGCTCGCTCTAGGCACTGGGGAGGAAGAAGTGGTCGGTCAGCACTGGCCCCACTACCTAAGCCACTGCCTTCAGAGAGCTGCAGGGCAGCTTCCTTCCTGTTGGAAACACAGGGGTAATCCAGTCCCTGTCGTGGCATGCTGGCTGCGCAATGCTTCACATCTCTACAGCCTTGGTCCCTGCCTCCATAATACAGGAACGATCTCATAGGGTCACTCTGACATGCAAATGACATTCGATTTGCGACCATGTTTTTGAAAGGACACCACCCAATAAAAATAACAACTAGTGTTTATTATCACAGGACATGGTGGGGCTCTCAGATTGTCACTTACCTAGTCTTCCTCACCACCCTGAGGGGAGATCTCTAATAACCCCCACCCCATAGACAATGAATCGGTGACCGAGGCTAGGGTGGCTTGCCAAGGTCACAACGCTAGGAAGAGGCAGGCCATACCGAGACGAAAGCGGCAAGCGAGCCAAGACAGATGGTCACCTTGTGTGCTTCCCTTTATGAATGACCTAACTCCCCGGAAGTGAGGGAGGTTGGGCGGCTGACCCTACCTCAGAGAGCATGACGTACTGGCCGCGCCTGCCCAGTGTGATGCTCAGGAGGTCATAGATGGCTGAGGCATTCTGCAGGCTCACTTTCCGGTCCTTCTCCTGCTCTGGTGACCGACTCAGTACCACGTCCCGAGTTGCCTGTGGGTGGGAGGTGGTTTGGAAAAGACGGTGGGGATACCAGGTAAGGACCTAGCATCACAGGCCCCATATTGCAAAGCCACCCCCTGTCACGTGTCACTGCTGCCACAGCCAGGTGACTGACCACTCTCTCAGAAACGACCTCCCCCAAACCCACAAAGCTCTCTCCAAAGACAGAAAAGCCTTGGTCCAGATGAGTGTGGGGGTGCCATCCTAAGGCTCAAGGTCCTCGTGTTCATTATGGCACTCGGCAAGACTTCGAACCTACAGAGACGTTTCAAGGACAGTGCTAAGGCTACAAGCGTTTCATCTGACTTTATCACCTGGTGACATTCAGGACTCCCGCTTCGCTCCAAACACATTATCATTAATGCCCTCTCTCATTAATGTTCACTCTTCCTTCTTCCAAGATCTCAGAGTAACTGATCAGTCACAACAGTTGCAGAGCAGGGGACAGCCCGGGGCCTGGAAGGACTCTCATACACTCTGGTGGCCTGCGCTTGGCAAAGCTGAGCTCTGGCCCCACACCCTTGCCGATAACTCCCAGCGTCCCCTCTCCGACCCTCTCCTTCTGCCAAAGAGGTCCTTGTCTAACGTCACCCTCCCTGCCTGAACCTGCTCTGCTCCCCACAGGCTGTCCACCAAGGACCGGCCTGCTAGATAGAACACAGAAGGAGCTGTCGGCCCTGAAACCTCAGTATCTCACCAGAGCCCAGGCCCCATCCTGTCCTCCAGCCCTCCTCACGGCCTCCTCCTGCACAGAGGCACCCTCCCTCCTGAAGGCAAGGAGCTCCCATGAGCTGGTGGCTGAGGAGACAGAAATGCCCTTACTTGAAGGCCCTGGGTTGAAATGTGTTCCCTTGGAGGCCCCTAGAAGCTAACGGGCCTCCTAGCCCCAAAGAGCTAATGCCCCGAGGGGCATCTGAGGCAGGGAGATAGACTGATGGCCATGGATCTGGGCACGTGCCTCTTCGGCCATGATTGTGATCAGTGTTCCTCCTCCTCTTCCTCCTCCTCACAAAACACAGATGGCCGAGGAGGGGATGCCTGGGAGACGATGCCAGGAACGGCAGGAAATCCTCAGAAAGATCAATGCTAGAGCCAACCTGATACACCGAGCCAGGAACTGCAAACGGTTAAGGAAGAGAAAGCGCCAAGAGATCCCTCTGCCTCCCGGAGAGACCCGCCCACACAGCCACGTGGGAACGCAGCCTGCCTCCCATCCCTCCAAGATGCCTCTCCAGGCCTCCACCTCCAGCCGCTCTCAGCTCCCGGCACCCAGTGGGGACCGTGGGTGAGTGGGCTCCTCCCCCAGGCAGCAGGAAGGGGAAGACGGCATGAAGTACAGCAATTCGGGAAGGGGGCTCCGGGACGCATCTGTGCATGCATACCGGAGTCTAGACTTTGGGGTAGGAGGAAGAATTCAGGAGGGAAGGGAGAGCGAGGCCAGGTGTTCCGTAAGGGTGGCTTTTCCTGAGGAAGAGGGACCCTTGCTGGACACATCCGAGGACTGAGGAGTCCACCCTGCACAGAAGCCATGTTGGGGGGTGGGGTCGTGAGGCGTATGCTGTCACTAATCCCTCAGGGTGACACTTACACTCCTAACTGACTTCTCACCAGCCACACAACACTCCCAGCTGTTTTCCTGTCTTCAAGGCTCAGCTGAGTTTGGTCGCTTGCTTGGCGGTTCTCTGTGTCAGCCTGCTGGCAACTCCCAGCTCAGGTGGCTGCTTTTCTCTGCATCCCAGGCACACACCAGGGAGGGCCCTGGCAGCCCCGGCTGGCTCGTCACTCCCCGCGGCAGGGCATGCCATTTCTCAACTGAGCTCCTTGAACACAGAGCTTCGGAAATCCACCTTTGTGGGGAGAGCAATACCCCAGGCAGACGACTCTGGGCTGACACAGAGACTCCCTCTTTGTCTACCCTAGACCTTGTCCTCTAAGTGGACAGGCCTCTGGGTGTGTCTGGTGGGGAGGAGGGGTGGATTTTCAGAACTGGGTGTTATTAGAGCAGGTGGAACGTAAGACAGAGTAAGTCCTCCAGAGGACCTGGCCCCTTAGCGGACAGACAGCAGTGAGGACATGCTCTTGTGGGTCCTTAGTGCTTTTTGTACAAGAGGGGACCATGGTTCCCACAGGACAGCCAGAAGTAGAAGTCTGCCCAGCTGTTACCATGGCTTTGGGGGCAGGGCTACAAAAAAAAAAAAAAAAAAAAAAAAGCTGGGTTAGTGTTGGTTGCTGGGCAGTGCCTGTGTATGTAACCATGGTAACGGGTTTAGGTAGGGAAACTGGAAAAAAAGGAAGTCCTAGGGCTGGCTAGTAAGCCACAAAGGAGCATGAATCCACGTGTGGCTCAGGAGCCAGAAGAAACCTCAGAGGCACGGGGCACCACCACTAGGCTTACAGTCGTTCCCCGGGGCGCCCCAGCCTTCCCCATTCCTGGGCTCACTGCCCTTAGGCCCACAGGCTTCATAAGCAGCCCATCCACTTAGTCCCGACCGACCGCACTCTTTCCCTTCCCTATGACATACACGGCCTCGGGTCCTTTCACCGGGAAAATTTCAGACCCAGTGAGGACTTCCAGACCCGGCGCAGCAATGTGAATGCACTTGCCAGAGTAAATACAGCTACTGAGCTGCCGTCTGTGTCCCCCACTGTCACCCGCTGTCCCCCACCGTCCCCCGCCATCCCTCACGGTCCCCCACCGTCCCCTGTGCCGTTCTTGGGATAAAAGTGGATATTCTCCCTGGGTTTTTTCCCCGGCCCACCCTGCCTACTACTCACTGCTGTGACTCCCACACCAGCCCCTGGCTCCTGCTATGGGATATGCTCTACCCTTAGTTCAGCGGAGCATTTGATCCCCAGGCAGGACCCCCAGAGGTGTCCCTATTCCTCACCTTTCTCCTTCTGGTCATTCTCCCGGGATAACCTGTCCAGGATAACCAGCCACACACCAATCATCTCACAGCTCCACACCTCACCAGGAACCTCCACTGCTCTTTGGACAAAAACAGGAATCCTCTTTTCCTCGGGCAGGCCCAACTCTTGTTGAGACGCCCTCCCTAGGTGCAGGCCTTGCATTGCCTTCTCTGGAAGGGAATTCTCACATCCATCAACTTATCTGGCTTATGAATCCCAACATCAGTGAAACAAGTATAACCTTCCCTGGGAGGGCTCTGAGCCCCTGGGGATGGACATCCAGAGCCAGTCCAGGCCCTGTGGCTTTCCTGCATACCAGATCAATTATCCTGACAGTCCTCAATCTCTGCTGGATACAGATCAGCTCTGAAGAGCCCTGTCCTCCCCTTAATCCTGGACCTAGATAGACCTGGACCATCTAAGCCGGGGGTTTGGGGGGGGGCAACGGGATGGGGACAGAACACTTTCTAGGTGGCATCTGATCATTCCCACGCCCTCTTGCCAACGTTCATCCTATTTTACATAAGACTGAGGGAGACCAGTAAACGGACTAATACACACAGAGGGCAGAGACCTCACTGAAATCCAGACATCCTGGTTTCACCCTGGCTCCTTCCCTGATTCCAGGTTCCTCTGGGAACATGTCCAGTAGTCTCAATACTATCAGGGCTGGTTTTTCGGAAGAAGGAACCAAAGCAAAATGCAGACAGGGTCTCCCCAGTGAAGTCTCGGGTGCTGTCTCTTTGCAAAGAACAGGGTCCTAAAGCAAGATGCCCAAAGCCCTGCTCAGAGATTTCACAGAGTCAGCTTCTCCATCAAGCAAGAGAGCCTCAGGGCCTGCTGACACCCCAATAGTCACCCCAGAAAGAAGGACTAGGGAGCAGCTGTGCCCACTGATGCTCCCCCTCTCTGGAGGACACCATCATGTGCGGCTCCGGCTGGTGTCCCCCACTGGCAGACATGATTACCACCAGCTCTTGAGCTGCCGGTCCAGAGAGCCAAGAGTTTCTGTGCTCTGTGACAGGCTTCATCTACCCAGCGACACAGTTCCTGTGGCAGATGTCACAGTCTTCCTGTCACGGGTACTGAACCACGGGCTCTGAGCTGGCAGCCTCTGCAGAGCAAGGCCTTGAGTCAGAGCAGAGGGAGGGCCAAAAGCTAGGACGCCGTGTGTCTCTGCGCTGAGTCCCAAATGGAAGCACGCCTAGGAAGCCCTTTCCTTTAAGACGACGGACTAACAACCTCAGCCTCCCAACTCGATTAGAACCTACGCGTTTCCAAAGGCAACTAAGTCAGAATCAAGCCTTCCCTGCCCCCAGGACAAAAACATGCATTGAACACACCGAAGAGACAGCTTTGTGTTCATTTCCTTATTTAATCCACCCAGACTCCTTCCACGGAGACCTTATTAACTCCATCTTACGGATGAGAAAACAGGTTGAGAGAGAGAAGACTCTAGCTCTGCTATGAGTGACAAGTACAAGGTCCACCTAGCTAGGTGCCTGCTACTGAGTACATCACGGAACTAGTTTGTTAAGGTGCAGGGACCCCGTCCCAGCGACACCCCCAGCCTCCGACACTTGCTCCATATCAGGCCTCTGTACCTTTCCAGTTCTGAGAGGCCGCACCAAGCAATGCATTCTTTTCCAGCTCAACAAAAAAGGGATCAAGGATTTAGCTGGCTTCTGCACTCTGCACTACGTGGGAGTGCACTAGAGATCAGCACTTCGGACTGTTCCATTATTTTATGGACGGGGCCGAGCACGGTCCAGCACAGCGAAGCCGCTCAATAAGATTAAGTGATAAACAGTGTTGAGTACAGGAATCGATTGTTGGAAAGGTGGCGGGTGAGTGGATGGACAGACAGGTGGGTGGGCAAACAGATGCATGCGCGGATGAGTGTGGGTAGACTGATAGATGTATAGATATGAGTGAGTGTAATTTGACATGCTCTTTTAGCCCGAAAGATAAAAAAAGTAGGTCCAAAACACAAATCTTAACCAGTTATAAATCAAATCCCTATGTTACTGGGAAAACGCTGGTGGATTTCTGTTTATCTCTTGGAAGACATGGCTCCATCA